ACAGAAGGGAATATTATATGACATTATTGCATATCCTTTATAGGAAAATGGTAATTTATTGTACTGGTGTGGTAATCTGGCAGGTAGATTCTATGTTCTTAGCTTTTCTCTGTATCTTGCCTACATGTTGTATGGTATCAGTAGTGTCTCCAGGTATTACAGTATACAGTATCTTCCCTTTCTTTTATTAACAGACACATTTTTTTTTCCCCTAAAGTATCTGCAGCATTATGATAAATAGCACTGCAAACATTCTTCAGGACAGCCCTCTAGAGCTACTGTGAGCTTTTGCTAACAAAAGCACTTGCTGTAATGCTGCAGTCCTTTTGTTACTAGGTTGTTAAGTGCTTCTGCCTGCATATAATAGTTGCAGGTCATCCATGTGATAGTCCTGCAGTGTTCTCCTCTCCCTTTCCTGTCCTTCCTCCACGTACAGCACCAGTCACGTAGGATCATATTTCTTTTACTTGCTTAAATTATTTCAGAGCTCTGTGTTTCAGGGAGTGTTTGTGACTGCCTCTCCTTCTTCAGTTCACTCACTTTTCCTTTCACATACTGTGTTCAGGATTCCCCTGTCTGTATTTCCTGTCTCACTAACTTCTCACCTCTCTTCTTTTCCTTTATCCCACCCAAGCCTGAAGGAGTTGAGAAGGAAACAGCCCAGAACTCTGTGCTCTGTGTAAAAGGTAAAGACCACTCTCCCCACCCTCTCCATTTGTTCCTGTGGGGTTTGATGGGTGGGACGTGCCTGGAGAAGGAAGACAGTGCTGCCTCTACCATATTCTAGATAGGCTGATACTTTTAGGTAATCAAAACATGCCCCAACAGTTGGGAGCCTGAGACGTAAGACATAAGGAAATCCTAGAGAATGGACCATCCTGGCTAAGTATCAGGGTATGCGCTAGGGCGGACTTAGCATGATGGTTTGCATCCATGTTCTCTCGTGTGCTGACACTGGAGTCACAAGCACTGTCTCCTGTTTTATAGCACATCCAGGAAGAAGCTGTAGAGATGCAATCTACAGTGCCTAACAGTGGCTGGGGTGGTTTCATGCAGACATTGCCTTATCGCCATGGAAAACCGAAGTGCCTGAAGTCAGGGGATTTTTAATAGGAAATGTTCCTGTTTCACTGAAGCCCCCTCTGCTTCCATTAATCATTTCTTGGGGCTGTACTGAAGCTGTCTGGGTCTTGTTTCTCCCTCAGGAGAGCCTGTGAAAGAGAAGTTTTCCCTGTTGCTACCCTCAAATGTGGTACAAGACTCAGGCAGAGCATATTTCTCAGTGCAGGGTGAGTGAGCAGCCTGGCAGAGGAACCATGTGCTGTTTCTCCCCCTCTGTGTTGGCCTCCTACCTCACAGCTTTTCCTCCTTGTTTCCAGCACACCTCAGTCCTGTCTTTCGTCCCTTCTGTCTTGAGCACTTTTCCTTCCAGTCACATTCTTCCTCTTTCCATTTCTGCATGTCCTTTGTTCAGGGTTCTTTGCCAGTTCTTTAACCTCTCATTTCCCTCTTTTCCTTTTCTCTGCTGTTCTGTGTTTCATTCCAGGAGCTTTATCAATCCAGATTTTCTTTTGTTCTTCTCTGCCATCTCCTGCTTCTCTCTTCGGTAGCTCCCTCTGATTCTGGTAGCCAGCCCTGAGTATTGCTGATATCCCCCTGCTCCCCAGGTGACATCATGGGCACTGCCATGCAGAATCTGCACCAGCTCCTCCAGATGCCATTCGGCTGTGGGGAGCAGAACATGGTCCTGTTTGCACCCAACATCTACGTCCTGGACTATCTGAACAAGACAGAACAGCTGAGTGAGGAGGTGAAATCCAAGGCCATCGGATACTTAGTGAGCGGTGAGCTGAGACATGGCTTTTTCTTCTGCTTTGGCTTTTTTCCAGATCCTGCCTGTGGTGCTACTGTCAAATGTTGGCCAGATGTGGAAAGACCTTCTTTCACGCACAGATGGTCTCTGCTGTATACCTGAGAAAGCTCTTTGCTGCTTTTTCCTTTATTATTTTCTGATGCTTAATCATCAGGGTATCTGATAATTTCACCCACTTTTCTTTGCTCCCTGATTGGGTTGCAGTGCAGTGCAGAGTTGTCAGGTGATCTGCTACAGTGACCTGTCCACTGTCATTAATATGTCCTGCCTTCTTTTTGAAGAAAGGTGGGTGTTGCTTCTCCTTATGTACTACAAGCAGTGCATGGAGATGGGGATGTACCTGTACTTTTTATGGCTAGGATAGGACTGACCTACTCCTCTGTCCTTTGCCTTTGCTGATACAGGTGGTTTTCTGTTCCTCCACACCTCAGCAGGCTTTGGCATCTGAATCCTACTTTTACTCTCCATTGCAGGTTATCAGAGGCAGCTAAACTACAAGCACCCAGATGGCTCTTACAGTACCTTTGGACCACGTTATGGCCAACTGGGGAACACCTGGTGAGATTTCAGTGTCACCTATGCCTCCCTTATATGCTTCTCTTTCTCGCCTACTCATTTATAATAAATGCTGTGTGACAGTAAATCGGAAATGCTGTTGTAGACCATCAGGCTTTCCAGAGCGGGTGTGGTCTCTATGCTGCCTTCTACCTGATGACATAGGCTGCATCATCCAGTTAGGTAGCTGAAGCCCATCCTCCTACCAGCAGCTCTGAGGACCATGATAGATAAGAAGGAAATGGAGATCAGCTGGGGGAGAAGGGAGCAGGGGTTTCACATTCTGACTGAGGAAGGCTGAAGAGTTGCAGTGGCAGCTCTTCTAGACTAGCATCTGTGGAGAAGGCTGCTGGGAAAGGTGTTTCCATATAAGTGGAAAGGATGATAACCCAAGAGCAGTGCTGTATGGTTTTTTTCAAGAGTGTGTGTTACTAAGCAAAGAGGAGTGTGTGTGTTGCCACTGTGACTTACTGCAAAGTTTTGAGTTGATCCAGTGTATTATTGCTACGCATTTTCAACTTAAGGGTAAGAATGGATGATTTCATCACCTCCAGTTTGCTTTTAGTTTCTGAAACAGGTCTTGGCTCTTGACAGCATGTTGGCTTTTCACCACATGCCTGCTTCTTTTCCATAACTGCTTGTAACAACTCTAGCAAAAACTCTTTTAATGTGTGCTTCTTTACTTTAAAACTCCGGGGAGTTCTGGGAAACCCACAAGGCATGGATTTCTAGTGCAAGAGTCCTGCCAGCAGACCATGAGCTAGCAGGGATTTAATTATTCTTCCTTGTCATTTTGAGTATTACTGTTATGCAGATGTTGAGCTAACTGGCATGCAATTCCCAACTTTTTCCAAAGAGATTTTTTTTTAGGTACAGATCATCAGTCACTGTCCTTCAAACTGTAGCCTCAACAGAAAGGAATCACAGGGTTTTATGAGCCAAGAGAGGGACAAGAAATCAAGGTGGGAGGCATTTTTTTGACAGATATTTGAGGTGAAGATATAAAATATAAGTGGTCTGACTAATTGGCCCAAAGTTCTCCAGGCCTTCTTGCCTTTTTCCAGACAGATGATTTGCACATGGTCCCTGTCACCTGAGATGGACAACAGGCCTGCTCAGGCTCTTTCATTGCTTTTTTCTCTCTCAGGCTCACAGCCTTTGTCCTCAAGTCCTTTGCCCAGGCCCGGCCTCACATCTTCATAGATGAGAAGCACATCCAGGATGCTTTGGTCTGGCTGTCCTACAAACAGAAGGAGAATGGCTGTTTCCGCAGTTCTGGGACACTCCTGAACAATGCTATGAAGGTAAAATGTTTGCCTGGTTGTTTTTTTGGGAGGCTAGAACTTGACCATAATTCAGATGGGTCCAGCTGAGCTTCCTGAATGTACAGGCAGATGGGAAATTCCCATGTCAATGGCAAGCACTACGGAGCAAGGTGCCATTCTGTATGCATGCCACAATAGGAAGGAGAATGAAGGCTAACCTGCACTTTATAAGTGGTATTGGTACCTCCACATCAGCTGCAAGGGGGAGGAGGCAAGCTAAGGGTCTACAATGCAGAATAAAGTATTCTCACTATAGTGGGAGAAAAGGCAGAAGATAAGAAGCGAGGTGTGTTCAGCTTCTACCTTTGTGTTTCCTTGCAGGGTGGAGTGGACAACGAGATCTCACTGACAGCCTACATCACTATTGCACTGATGGAGATTCCTCTGCCTGTAACTGTATGTGACTGCACCCTAACTGAGTCAGTTATGTCGTGTCAGTCTGTGATGACAGTATTGCCCAAAACTTGCTTGATTGGAAAAAAGGACTTGGTTATGGAGCCTTGTGATATAAGAATGATGTGCTGACAATTTGGAGTTTCTGGAACACATTGTAGCCTACATGTACCTAGACCTCATCCTGGCAGACCCCTCCTCAAAATTCAGTGGAATGATGTGCCAAAAGTAAGACAAAACCCTCATTTCTCCTCAGCCTTCTAATCACGAGTTATCTCTCCCCAGCACTCAGTGGTGCGTAACGCTCTGTTCTGCCTGGAAACGGCAGCAGATGAGAAAGAAAACCACGTGTACACCAAGGCACTGATGGCGTACGCCTTCGCCCTGGCGGGGAAGGAGGAGAAGCGGAAGGCATTACTTGGCTCACTTGAAAAGGAAGCTGTGAAAAAGGGTGAGTGCTCCTGGTGGGACACCTCTTCCTTCTAATCCACTCGCCTTGCATCTTCCCTTGAAAAAATGGCGTTTATTGGTGGGGCAATGGCTGCAGGAAATGGCTTCTGTGGGAGGGGAAAGGTGGAGGGAGAGGAAGGACTTGTGCAAAGGGGATGCATTCTTGAGAACTCCCTCTCAGTGCCCAGTCCCACCTCTCTGCTCCAAAGGAGTCCATCAGGAAGCACCAGGCACCATCCGCACCGGTGCTGAACTAAAGGGTAGCTCTGCCAGCGTCTCTGCTCAGCCCGCTCCTCTTGCCACACCAGGCACTGCTTAGCAAAGACTTTGCACAGCACGT